TTTGATATGATCATGCAACTGGTTCCGCTGCTGACTGTAGATTACCGGAGCCTAGACAAGCTGTTCCCATGTCCTTCTCCCATATGGCTGACAAATGCAAGGCCAAAGGGGCTGGAGTGTTGTTTCCATACAGCTGAACTAGCTGATGTTATCACTGTAATCATACAGGCCCTGTCCTGCATCTGCTTAAATTCTGTCTGCTTTTAATTCTTGTTATGAGCTGCCTCAGATATTACACTGGGACAAGTATAGAATATAAATAAATAAACTTCCACATTTAAAAATAGCCATTTGCTTTCAGTGCTAGATATTTTAAAGGTATTAAAAACCTTTCCACCTGCGTACTGTAGAATAAATTTTATTAGTAAGCCGCCTAGAGTGGTCTATCGACTAGATAGGCGGGATATAAATAAAATAAATAATAAATAATAAATAATGCAGCCAAGCAGGAAGGAGACACAACCCAAGATGGAAGCTGCTTCATTCCCATTCTCCATTGGGTGCTTTTCATTGGATGAAACCCAGTTGCTTTTCATTGAGCCCTTTGAAATAATGGGTAACCAAAAGAAAGAAACATGAAAAAACAAGGAACTTTCATGTACCTGTGGCTATCACCCTGCTTTGGCTCACGTAGGAGATTATTTGCATGCACCAATGGGAGCTGTTGGGAGGCGGAACCAGAAAAACCAGAAGGGAGGGGTGAGGCAGAGAAGGAGGGTTTTGTCAGTGACGGAGACAGCTAGTCAGTTGCAGTCAGAGATGAGAGTCTGAAGTGAGAAGTTAGTCTGTGGAAGTTAGAGAGTGTGGTAGAGTAAGGAGTTAAGGGAGGCAGTTAAGAATATGGAACTTATAGAGAGTTAAGAGTGAAACAAGTTATTACAAACTACTGAATACCTTAATGTTTTTGAAGAACCTGTTCATGAACTGTATCCAATAAACCTTTTTTGTTGTTGTTAAACTTTACAGTCAGCATGGACCTCAATCTTTCTAATTGAACATTGTTGATAGTTATCAACTGGTGGCAGCGTAAAGGAGGAAATGTGGGCCTCAGGCTAGCGAAATAATCTGGGGACATGCTGGGGCATGTCACATAGTTGCTTAAAATTCCCAGTGAAGGAGGCCAGGTGGATTTCAGTTGTTCCAAAGCTGAGGAGTGACTGCTGAAAAGACCTAGTTTCTGGTTCTCTATTTCTGGGCCTCTCTCGGGGTCAGTACTCTCAACCACCTGGCATGGGACGATTGTATGGGGCGGGCAAATATCATCGGGAGGAGGCATTCTGTCAGATACTGAGGTCCTAAACTGTTTAGCACTTTATAAGTTAACATCATCACCTTGAAGCTGGCACAGAAATAGATGGGTAATCAGTGCAGGGCAAGCAAGGTGGGATAAATATGTTGATGTTTATTGACACCACTCAGTAGTCTGGCCAACATGCTCTGAACCTGCTGAAGTTTCTGTAACAGCCTTGTGGGCAGCCCCACATAGAGCATTACAGTAGTGTATTCTCAAGACTACTTGTGCATGAACCAGCGTAGTGAGGGACCAGGTGCCAAGGTAGGGACACAGCTGGGCAATCCATCTTCGGTGGGATTATGTGGAACAGACCACAGATGCTGCCTAGCCCTGAGTCTAGTAGTACACCCAAGCTGCAAACCTGATCTTTAGCAGAGAGAGTAGCTCCCCCAAAAGGAGAGGAAGGCACCCAATCCACAAATCCGCACCCACCCGCAGGAGAGATAGAGCTGGGTATCATCTGCATATTGGTGACACGAAGCTCCAAAACTCCTGATGACCTCCCCCATAGGCCTCATATATATATTACAACAGCATTGGGGAGATGATTGACCCCTAAGGAACTCCACAGTTAAAGGTCCAAGGGGTGGACATCACTTCCCCAAGCTGTACTCTCTGAGGATGGTCCTCGAGGATTGCCTCCACTTTATGTTTTTAAAAGGCTGCAAATTGGTCACAGGAGATATTACTGGAAGGGTTGTCACTATGACTAACCCCAAATAAAACACGTACTATATGAAAGAGTTCGTTTGAGCTTCACATATCCGGGTAGCGAAGTACAGTATGTTCTCCTAGTGGCCTTCACCTTAGCTAAGTAGATGCTTGATGTGTTTTAGAGTAGATTCTGTTGGGGTCTGTCTCCAGATGCTTTACAGCCTCCTCCTATTCTGCTTCTCCACCTACAGGTGTTGGTTATACCAGAGAGCTAGGTGGGCTCAGTGGTGGAGGGGGCATTTAGGTTTGATTGTGTCAACAGCCCTGGTAGTGGCAGCATACCATCCATCAACCAGAGCCTCAACAGCAGCACCAACCAGATCAGCTGGTATTCCCCGCATTGCATCTTGGAAACCAATTGGATCCAATAGCCTGTGGGGGCGGGCCATCTTAATGGGTCCCTGCTCCCTGGGGGGAGTGCCGCTGAGAGGCTGCATTTTATCAGGTGGTTATCCTGAATGCTATCATTTAGTTAATTTTTCTTTCATACAATGCCATGTGCTTATATACCGTATATACTTGAGTATAAGCCAACCCAAATATAAGCCGAGGCACCCAATTTTACCACAAAAAACTGGGAAAACTTAATTGATTTAAGTATAAGCCGAGGGGGGGGGGGAAATGCAGCAGCTACTGGTAAATTTCAAAAATAAAAATAGATACCAATAAAATTACATTAATTGAGGCATCAGTAGGTTAAGTGTTTTTGAAGATACTGCCCTTCTGAGCTGCGAGACACACTTCACTGCCTGCGGAGGGAGGACTCATATCAGATGCTGCACTTATCTGCTGCTCTACTGCTGCGTAACAAGATGGAAGGAGATGGAGGAGGAAGGTAGGAGGAGGAAGTTGGGTACATAGAATATGCAGAAGGAGGAGGATGGGAGTGTCCTGGAAGCGGAAATGCAGTGTACTTAACCTGGGTCATCGGACCACCCACAGAGGCCGCAGGAGCCCGTAGATGAGCGGGGGAGTCCAGAGAACACCCGCACTGCAGGGGAAAACATGTAATTTTGACACTGACTTGAGTATAAGCCAAGGGGGGTGCTTTTTCAGCAAAAAAAAATTGTGCCAAAAAACTAGGCTTATACTCGAGCATATACGGTATACGATTCTGGACCAAAACAACAACCAAAGAAAAAGATGTAATATTTGTCCTCTCCCTGCTTATTATATTTTAAAACAGATGCAGCTAAAAAAATAATGTATGATATTAAAATACTAAATTTGTGTACCCTATTAGGACAAATTACAAACTACAGACTGAATCAGCCTGATTTGGACCAATTTGTAGGAGGTCTAGATCAAAGCAGAATGCCAGGTTTGATTCCTGGGTGAAGCAAAGCAAAACTGCATGTTTATTTGGAGCACAAATTGAATCCCATGGGGAACAAATCACTTCAGGTTCTTTCTTTTTCTCTCTTTAGACAAAAAAGCAAATTTTAAAAATTGTATGCAAAGTCCTGATGGTTTAAGATCTGTTATGCCTCCATATTTTACATCAATGTAAAGAAATTTGTAAGAATTTCACCAGTATTTCCATATTTAATCCCTGGTAAGTGTTCATGGGATTGCAGCTGGACAAATTTAATTATAATAAGCTATAATCCACTTTTATATTATAATAAACTATAATCCACTTTATTACAACAAACAAACCTATATGCATAAGCTTTCCAGTCTCTAAAAGTGTCAGAGGATTCTGTTCTTGCTGGAACAATGCTAATGTGATACAAGAATTGTCTCTTCGGAAGCTTTTGTATTGCTAGCTCTTTCTAGGGGAGTGACCATGTGAATCATCCCAGTTTAAATATCTTCTTGAGGTCAGAGGATGATTCTGCTCCAGAGGCAAATGTGTTCAAATTAAATTATCTTCTTCAAATTAAATTATCCATGGGAGAGTGGAAGCCAGTAGGTTTCAGTTGTGTGAATATTCTGTGGGAGTGGTGGGGTGGTGTCCGTGACCTCAATAACATGCAGGGGAGTGAAGCTGATAAATGAGGAGCACACCTATAGTGTCTTACTAAAGAACATATGAAAATCATGTTAAAAATAGAAGCTCTATAAAGACCTAGTGTTTCTGTTATCCACTGTCATAATTAAATACCGAACAGTTGTAATTTAATTATTACTTCATGTTAGGTTTTAAATCACCAAATGTGGTTTATAATGCTCTGAGGATCACCTGGGCTTTAATAGGATTTGTCATATGTTTCCCCCAGAGCTGAATCACTGCTGTCAGTGCTAAGTAAATAACATTTTAAAACACTGGACTGAAGCAACGATGAATTAATAGAAATGTTATTGTGCATACCATTTCCTAATACTTTTCAATTTTTCCTTGTGTTCCTTGCCACATCGTCTTCGAAGAAGACTTCTTATTGTGTACAAGAGAATGGAGATAGCGTCTTTTCAGAAGGGGTGCTTTTCCAATTTTAAATATAATGATTTAAATTAATTAAAGACAAAAACTGTCCAATTAATTGAGGACAACTTTTAAGGTACTTTCTTCATTGGTTAACATAACCATTCAGTTGATTCAGCCCTCACTGAGAGGTTGAAAACAATTTCTTTTTGAAAATAATTTTCTTGAATTGTTGCATATCTTCATTGTACTCACATTCTCTTTGTCATTTCCTTTTTTCTTTCTGCTCGTTTGGCCTTTTCAGCAGTGCCAGCACTGATTTTCATGTATTGCTTGGCAATGTTCCCTCCTTGCTTTTATCTCTGTATCTTTCCTGTAATTAGAATGTGCTGAGTTACTTTGCTCTAAGTTCCAACTATTCCTAAAGGACATATAGAAATTCTCATGTGCTGGTTCTTTTGCTTGCACAGTACCTATTGTAATTTAGTGCATTAGTCATGCAGATATGTAAAGAAGGCATTATTTCAGGAATACAATTAATCTCTTGTATGATTCTTAAAGATTAGTTGAAGAAAGAGACGGTATTGGTTCATTATGTTAACTGCATGGAAATATCTCTCGTTTCAGGATTCCACTTCTCTGTAATTTATCTGGTTGACTTCCCCTTGATGACTCAAAAATGGATGCCATATCATTCAAAGTTAAAAATCCTGAAGCAGCCAATGATGGCTCAGTAGACTTCAGTCTTCAGCTAGTAGGTTCTCTATCAGTGCACTCACTAACCACCATGCCAGTGCTTCCTTGGATCGTGACAGAGATTAGACGACTCAGCACTCAGTCCTCGAAGGAAGAGAATAGCAGCAGCCAAATCCGGCTTTATGTCTCACCTGTGATGCTGCGATGTGAGGCAGACACGGGGAAAAATCAGCAGTGGGACCCGTTGATTTGTTCCAGCGTGTTTGAGTGTAGACCTCAGCATGTCCACAAACTGATTCACAACAGCCATGACCCAAGCTATTTTGCCTGCTTAATAAAAGATGGAGCATTAAATCAGCAAAGTACCTGCTATGTGTTTAAAGCTGATGATCAAACAAAAGTAAGTGGAGTATTTTTGTTCGTATTCAACACAGAATAGAGTTATACTGTTTTACAGAACATGCAGATCATGAAAAGATTTGTTTACATTCTGAGTAGATACTGCTTTTGCCAGCTCTGTTGATCAGAGCTTGGAACTCTTACTCTTTCTGGACAACAGTTCCCAGAATCTCTTTGTTAGCATAATCATTGACCGTGCTGGCTGGGGAGGGGGGAATTCTGGGAGTTGCAGTCCAAAAATAACTTTTCCAAGCTCTGAAACTGACCATTTGATACATACTCATTATAAATCCCAATTTTGAGTATATGTATGGTTGTAGAGGTTCTTTTATGTCTGATCAGTTTGCTCATGAATGTGATGTCGGTATGTAAAAGCAGCCATCAGTTCCTATATCAAGGGCTCCCCCTATTTCAAAGATATTAAGATTTTCAAGTAAAATCAAATTAGCACTCTGAAGCTGAGAATTCAATCAGTACCAGTATCCAAAAAAAAACAAATGCTTCCAAGGAATTAGTGCAAACAAGACAATAATAAAGGGAACCTTCACTTGCCTTTCACTTTAGCCTCTGCCATCAAGGGAATAACTTCTAATACTATTGCCATCATCCATTCACATGCCAGAGCATTATAACACCTATTTCAGCTTTTGGCCACTATCTTATCATAATCTCTTCTCAAAGGAGGATTCTGCAAACTGTAGTTTTGGGATGGGGGTGGTGCCAGGATCACTATCAGAAAGTTCTCAGTAAAGTCATCAAGTTACATCTCTTATGATTTATGGGAATGGTTTACTTCATATGCCCTTGTATATTAACCTGCTAGAGAACATGAGAATGATTGCGATTGCCAACATGTTTCCCCTTATGACTTCATCTGATGACTAAAATATGTAATGCTATAGCAATCTACAGCACCAAAAAATAAACAAATACTGTACTTTTTATGCTCTACTTGGATGCTTCTGTAGTATAAATTTATATTTGTTTGGTTAATATTAATCTAATATGTACCATGCTTGATCAGAACAATGGCTTAGCCAGTCCAGCATGGCTTTCAAAGAATGGCCAACCAGATCCGGAACAGAAGAATCCCAGTTATACCGACTCATTTAATCCCTCTGTTGTACCAGTATGCTATTTTCTGCGTTCACATGGTATATGTATTGGCAGGAGTGTTTACATTGTTTTTAACTGTATTTTAATTTATTCCTATTTGAACCATTATAGCAGGCTACACTGCTCCTTAATTTTGTGTGGATTCATTTTCTCGACTGTTTCTTGGGGCAATCAGGTCTCTCCTTGTCCTTTTTTTAAAAAAAATACCAAAGGTGATATATCGATTAAGTGGTACAAGCTTTCTCTTCTCCTCTCCTTTTCTCTTCCCTCCTTTATTCACTTATTTTCCTTTCCTTATTTTCCTTCATATCGCTCCCTCTCAGTTCTTGGCATTCCTTTTTCTTTTCCTTTTTGCACAGCATTAGAGAAGGGGAAGGGAAGGAAGAAAGAGAGAAGGGAAGGAGTTTGTGGTTTTTTGGGGTATTTTTTGTTTGTTTGTTCCACACTCCATTTTCTTTAGCTTTTTCCACCCACTGGTACCTCTGTCAAGAATCTCCTCTTTTCCATGTTCTGGACTTTTGTAAGGAAGCAGCAGGGGTGCTTCTTCAGTAAGAAGAGGAGGAAGAGACACAAACCTCTTGTAAATGATTCGCTAAGGGCTGTGCGTCATGTAACTGCCAAGCTATGATATGAACTTAATGGAGGATAGGAAGGCAACATTTGGTTCATGTGTCTGCAGCTTGAGTTGGCGTATGTCCTCTTTTGTACTGGAGACTATGTGTTGCCTTTCATTGTTAAAATGGACTACTTGTTTGGAGATATTGCCAAAAACAATTGGTAGCAAACATAGGCCATAATTTGAAAAACCTGAACAACGTGCCTGATGTGAAGGGTGGCTACGTGACCAGAAAAGTACAAAATAGGGCACTTGTTTGCATATGTTAGTTTTTATTAGCATATTAGGATTTTTTTTTTTAAAAAAAGTTTAAACAGAATCATACTATGTCTCACTGAAGTAGGGAAGATAGTGATCAGGTGGCTTCTGTGTTTGCTACATCTGCTGTCCAGGAGCTAAGTGTGAATGACTGACTTCAAAGTTCTTGATTTCCTTCCTTATACATCTCTGTCTTTAAGTCAAACCTGGACAATGGAGAACACCTTCTAGAGTAGGATTGTTAACTGGCAGCCCTTCAAATGGACGACAGTCTTTCCTGAAAGATGGTATGTGGCCACTCTACTGAAGGGGTTGTTGGCTTGTGTTATTTTGAATAGTCGTCCCTTATGCCTTTTGGTCGTGAAGGGAACATCTGATGGAGTGTGTGAAGAAGAAAGTGGTCTGCTGTTTAACAAAAGAGAATGAAACGATCCCCTTGGCCAAGTGCAACCACTGAAGTACACTTAAAGGAACTTTTTTTGATCCCCATCATTATGTTGTATATAAAAAATAAAATATTCAGTATGTATTTTCCATTTCAGGTTAACTAACTTGGAACGCCAGGGTTTTTCTTTTAAAAAGGAACAATCCAAAATAATTAATGAAATTAAAAGGCCTGTCATTATCTAGTTGGTGCATATCTAATGGTCAAAGCAACATGTGTTGGTCTTTGGAATTGTGCTTCATGCTACTTCACATAGCCTGGACAAATCATTCTTAAATCAGTTCTGTTCCAATCAATTACATTATGGTTTGCACAAGCCTTAGTTTGACATCTATACTAGGACCCGTATGGACTTTACATCATGGTGTCCAGTTCTGGTTGAGAGTCATCCTACTGTGTAAATAAAAAAAAACACACAATAGTATGACTGTCAACCAGAATTGGACACAATGGCAAACTATAGTTGGCCAGAAACAGAATGTGAGGGAAAAGAATGTGTGTGTGCCTATGTGTGTGAGTGCACTTATGGACCTGATGGTCAAACCCATGGTTTGGCTGTTACCTATGAATGGAACCCATGTAATGTTTTCACCTGGATTATCAGACGAATTTATGCTGTAAAAATGGGGCAAAGTTATGCAGTTTCATTAGTGTATTTTATCTTCTTTATGAAGGCTAGTCAACAAATTTAAGCAAGAGGTCTTGTTCAGTGAGAAAACAAACAATTCCTTGGATCTTTAGACTGCAAGTGAAATATTCTTCTTTGACATGTAATTGCTCAAACATAGAAAGGAAGCATAATGCGGAAGCATCTTTAGGAACAAAATGGATAGCCTGGTGAGACTAAACAATAGATGCTATGCAGATCTATTAATTGATGGTGAACTGGCTCCTCTACAAAGTGTATTTGCATTGCTATAAAGATTTTCTCGATATATTTTGGTTAAACATTGCTGAAAATAATGTTAGAAGTTTTAAAAAGATTTCTGCCCAAAAGAGTTAGCAAAAAGGCTAGGGTTGATAAATCATGCAGTCTAGTGTTTCTAGAAACAACAATTAGAAGTTGTCAAATTTCAGCTATCTAGGAATATATACAAGATAACATTTGCAAATGGATGCAACCTAATGCTCTGTGAAACAAGAGTCTTAATATCCTATCTGTCAGATGGTTCTCCATGGAAAAATCTTTAAAAAGTTTTATAGAGAGGTTATGCTTCAGATGCTTCACCTTTATCTGGCCCATTACTGATATGAGGTCAGGGTGTGGACTCACCTCCCTCTATTAATATCTCTACACAAGAATTGGAGGTTGTTCATGACTTTGTGTACCTTGGCTCAACAATCTCTGACACACCGTCCCTAGATGTTGAGCTGGATAAATGCATTGGCAAAGCAGCGGCTATGTTCTCTAGACTCATAAAGAGAGTATGATTTAATAAGAAGCTGATGGCATATATCAAAGTCCAGATCTATAGAGCCTGTGTCCTGAGTGCACTCCTGTACTGCAGTGAGTCTTGGACCCTTTGTGCATGGCAGGAGAGGTAGCTGAACACATTCCATATGTGTTGTCTCCGATGCATTTTCTGTATCACCTGGCAGGTGGTACCGAAATAGAGTAGTCCTAGAACGAGCTGGAATTTTTAACATGTAGACATTATTGAAACAGTGACATCTACATTGGAAAGGCAGAGAAGAGAAAGAGGAGTCCTTCTTCACCTGCAGAGTCAGTCTTAGGATCAGGTATACCAAAGTAGTACCTCCCACTAACCACATTTCCATTATGAAGGAAATTCATTACTGGGAACCTTGTATTTCCCAAGGAACATCAAGTTTGACTCTTGAAGCCCAACTTTTTGTATTTTAAATGAGGATGTAGAAGGTTGAAAGCTGAGAATAAAAACTATTTTTATTTTAATATGTACAAATACATCTTATTGCTTCTACAGATAGTATAAATTTAGTTAAGTGGGGGATTGGAATGGTTCATACATAAGCATGGGTGAAATGCTTGGGAATAAGCATCTCTCCTTTCCATCTAATGATTGCTAGTGATCTAGTATCCTTTTTGTACATCCTCTGTTGCCTCTTTAAATGTGAGGTTACGCTACATGTGTTTGCAGATGGTCTTATTATGCTGCAATTTCTAATAATAGCCACATGATGGGGCTTGTCATATATGAAAGAGCTCAACAAGAGTTCACGCAGAAAAGAGATTATCATGTTACCATTAATATAGCTGTTGTAAAGAATTATAATTTAGAAATGTTCACATTAGAACAGCATAATTTGAATGTCACTTTTCAAAAAATATACCTTAGTAACTGTACTGTATCTCTGGTAGCTGTCCCCATCTACATAAAACTCAGTGTGGAATAATCATTGAAATATCTGTCTCCTAACTGTCCCAGAGAACAGGAATGGCAAAAACTAAAGTGGATGTTGTTGCTAGGCATCACACATGCTGCTTGCTTCTTTGCTAATTTTTTGGAAATGGAACTAAAAATGTATTATGCAGAATTTGAAAAGAAGGATATTTGGAAGTAGTTACCTTATCCACAAACATGGA